CACACACACACACACACACACACACACACACACACACACACACACACACACACACACATCAAATTCAAAGTTTTTAGGAAGTGATTTAACATGCTCATTCTTTTGAATGAGGCCATGTAGTTCAAATTTCAAATTGCCTATAGGTAAAGTTAATATTAATGGGTAGTACCTTGACTTACAGTGGGGGAGAAGTTTGTCATCCTGAAGGCAAGTTTAGGTCCAACCCTTCTACATATAAGAGTGAACAGAAAGCTGTAAGAGGGGCTCTCAAAGCTTCTTAAAACTTGTCCATCCCCTGGGGTAGGGCTCGATTCTGATGAGAGAAGAAGTCACATAGCTTCTTTTATTTTTAGGATAATCTGTTGGGTGTTATATTTATTTCTTTCCCTTCTTTTATTGCCTTTGGTAATTTCAAGCAGAATGACCCTGAAGGACTGGGCTGCTCACTGTGTTTGCAGAGGCCTCTAGGTTATAACTAGGCTTGTCAAGCATAGGTTTTGTGAGAAAAACCACTTTTTCCCAGGTAGCTGCAAACCCTGAATGAATGCAAGGAAAACACAGGTTAACAGAATTTTTTAATACTTAATTACAGCCTCTATCAATTACTGCCTCTATCAGGGGATGGGCTCATGACCTGAGGACCTGTAGTATTTCTATTCATCGCATGGGCACTGTGTGTACTATGTCAACTGAGATGGTTTTCATTTGCTAAAACTGGAAACATGGAGTCTTGTGATGTCTGCTACATCTGTAAAATGCAGTGAAGGTCTCCTTGTCAGAACGTCACAACCCTTACATATGTCTGATATCAGCAGAAAGAGGATTCTGTGTTTCATTTGCAGACAATAGACAGAGTGAAACAATAGATCCCTTGCTATAAAATAGATATTACAAATATACTTTGAATGTGTAAGTGTTCAAAACTTGCTGTTCAGTGAATCTTCTGCCTTATTAAATCCCAACCTCACATGGTATGAGACACATTGACTTTGTGGGTAACTTCTACAGATGTGGAAAAAAATCTAAATTTTTGTGTTTATAATTAATTTTTCCTCTTGTTGAGCAGATTGGAATACCACTGTGACAGATTGGAATACCACTGTGACATCCTCCAACAACTCTTGGAATAATTACACTGTAAATATATTCTTCCCCAATCAACCATGCTCACTTGTGCATCTTCTCAGATACAATTTGTAGCTAAAGATGTCTGTAAAATTAGTTCACATATATTTGTGTTTAAAAAAAAAGAGTCAGATATAGTGGTATCTTCCTTATTCTCAGGACACAGGAAGTTAATACAAAATATCAAAAAAATTGAAGCCACCCTGGACCATTAGGCAACGTAGGCTATATAGTGAGTGACATCCTCTCTCAAAAACTGTGGATAAGTAAATTAGTAAGTATTTAAAAATGAAGAAATTAAGAGTTTGAGCTTGGGCCTGGAGAGATGGCTCAGAGGTTAATAGCACTGGCTGCTCTTCTAGAGGTCATGAGTTTGATTCCCAGCAACCACATGGTGGCTCACAACCATCTAAAATAAGAACTGGTGCCCTCTTCTGGTGTGTAGGCAAACATTCAGGTAGAACACTATATGTAACTAATAAGATCTTATACAAATAAAATAAGGAGTCTGATGTTTACAGAAGACATTTGAATTCAAGATGTTCATTCACATTCCCATTGAGCATTCTCTGTAGAGACACGGGGGATATTTTGTTTCCCAAAACACCCCAGAAGGTGATTAAAGCAGACAAAATCACACACATGATGGATGAGCCCACAGTAATTATGTGGTTAGATTTTTGACTGAGGTAGTTACCCATGTAGTCACCTCACCTAACATAGAACAGGTTTCCACCATGGTCAAAGGCACTGATTTTTACATTGTCTTGGAGTTCTGCTGCCTTTACCACCTCAGATCCTTGGTCTTCCTGTATATTCCAGACTAGCCACAGGCTGGTAAAGATGAAGCTCCAGGACTAGAGTCTAGGTTAGGGTCCAGCATGTGTTTTCTGTTCCTCTCACTTGGTGCCCCTTGTGTTTACTGCTGTTTCCTTATTGCCACTGTTGTTTTCTTCATTGTTTCCTTAGGAATCCATCCCTACACTGAATCCAGAGGAGAAAATGAATAAGGGTTTCACTCTTGGCACCACCTTTGCTGCCCTGCTGCTGCTGCTGTTTGTGTCTGCCCTGGCTTTCACGGGTAAGTTCACAACGGTCCCAAAGAAGGATACCCAGGTTTCTCTGACTGCCTTTAAGCAAGTACACTTGCCACAGGGGCTTTTAGCTCACATGCCTTCCCGATCTCCAGATCCAAGATACACATGGTAAGCCATCTACTCCCCAAGCAATGTGTTAGGACCCACAGAACTCTGTGGCTTATTTCTGGCATTAGATGAGTGTTATGCTCAGTGAACTTACAACATTGCAACTATGTCTGCAAATATTCCTAATCTGAAAAATCTCAAGGAGCTTTAATACTACTATAATTTTTCAGTTAAAACATTTTATTTATTTATTCATTCATTCATTTTACATCTTGATCCTGACCCCAGGTTTCCCTCCCTCATCATTCCCATTCCCTCCCTGTGCTGCCCATCTGCCAACCTCCCCCTGCTGCTTCTGTTCATAAAGGCCAGGCTTCCTATGGATATCAATAAAGCGCAGCATATCATGCTGTGAGTTAATACAATTTTTTGTTGGTTTAATTTTTGTGTCTACATTTTTTTTGCTTTTAGTTTGGGTTTTTGTATTTGTGTTTTTTGCTGTGTGATCATGTAGTTCAGGCTGGCATTGCACTTACTAGGCAGCTCCTGATGACCTTCCTCAGGATCCTCCTGCCTCCAACATCCAAGTGCTAGACTTCCAGAAATAGCCTGCAGTGCTTGGCAACACTGGTTTCCTAACCCTCTCATTTTTCAGCTGGTTCCATTAAAGAGGAAACATTCCATTTTCCAGAAAAAAATTAAATACTAAGACACCAGAGATTTTTGGATTGGCTTCACAGTTTTAGGTCACTTTAAGACCTTAGATGTGTTCTCTCCTTTCCTACCCTTGGGGTCACTTGTTCCCATGATCATACTGTGGAATGTGCTGGGATGTATTTAGAAGATGCAAATTAGACCCTGGTGGGAAGCCACCTGCTAAATTCTGGAACAGAGTATTTGTGGGTGATGCCAAATCCTACATGGTCCTCTCCATGGGTACAACCTTATGAAAAAGAAGTCAGGGTCTCTGAGGTAAACTGGAATGGATTGTTTTGATTCTTTTTGAACAAACAATCTTGAGAATATCTCTCTATGCTCTTTTCCTTATAAATCTTTCCTTACTAATTAATTCATCAATTCTTGGTTAATTTGAAACAGGGACATATAAATTATTTCTTTACTAATTGATTCATCAATTGGTTGGCTGATTTGAAACAGAGTTCACTGTGTGGTGCAGACTGACCTTGACCCTGCTATGTAGCCAAGGCCAGGCTGAACCCACAATCCTCCTGCCTCAGACTCATTTACTCTGGGATAACTGCTATGTTCCCCAATGCTTGGCCCCCATTCTCTAGGAAGTAAAATTTACTGAGTCCCTTTCTTGTTACCCTCACTTCTCAGTGATGCATTCTACATTCTGTATTTCTCTGCATTTATGGCAGCACAGGAACAGAAGACCTCTTTATTATAGTCTCTCATAAGTAGACACTGAGTTGTTAAGTTTGACTCCTGGAGCTAGTATTGAAGCAGTTGCCCTGACCCACTCTTGTTTCACCCAGTGATTTCTTTCATTGAGGACCTATTCTATTAAAAACTGAAGAAGTAAATCACAGAGCACATAAGCTAGTTGGAAGATCCTTTGAGGGGCTTTTAGGGATATGCTGGGGTTGACAGGGTTAGGTGGTGACCTGTTTGAGAGAGCCTCAAGGGAGGAGAAGATTTAGAGCAAGATGACTTCTTAGGTGCTAGAAGTGTAACAGCACTGTGGTCTAGCCAGTGTCTCCACACCCCTCTGTGCCAAGTGGTTACACTATCAATCTTTTTAATTTGTCTATAGATTGGCAATACCCAGGGCCATTTCTTTCAATCAAAATCAATATTCCACAGGCTGACATATATAGACTCACCCATGTGATCATAGGGAGCTTACTCTCTCTCTCTCTCTCTCTCTCTCTCTCTCTCTCTCTCTCTCTGCAGGTTGGTAGCATTCCACATCTTTTAGATTGGAGCTTTACAGAAGACAGAACTTGTGGGCCCTTGAGGTGAAGTCAACCTCTACATAATTGAAGAAAGTCTTTACCCTACAGAATGAGTAACAGTGTCCCTCTGAGGGAACATCTGCCTGATTCTGGAAGAACAGCAAGTGGATTTGACAGCACAACCACCCTCAAATACCCTTTACAGCTCCAGGACTATTTTCTGTGTGTGTTCATCCGTCAGTGGTGGAGAGGGTGACACTCAGCTGTGTATACTCAAACTCACTGTCCACATCATCCTATTTGTTACATCACCACTGTCTCAGTTTCTCTACTCACTGCAGCAATTCTCTCAAATATGAGCATTTTATACTTTATGTCAATAAAGTCATTGTTAATGTAAGAAACAGACTCTTGCCTTCTTTATTAAAACCATTAAGGGAGAAATAAGATTGAAAAGTTAGAGTGAGGGCTGGTGGGAGGGGCAACTGGAATTTAGAAGTATTACTCAATCATTTCATGTTTTTCTATTTGATTGTATTTGGAATTGTCACTTTTTCTCCCCTCCACAAGGGGTCCAATCATGAAAACATGCAGGTGTTAAGTTCCCTCATAGATAAATGAAAGGGACTCTAATGCCACCATTAGAGTTTGTTAAGCTTTCTCATAACTCTGGAAATATGATACGTTATTATATGGATGATCATAGGGTAAGGATGGGTGTTTCATGTCAGGAGGGTTTCCATGGTTAGTCTGGCACAGGACTACATTCGGGTATGATACTAGTGGACCAAGGGATTGAGTTATTAGTGTCATTTCTACTGCC